CTGAAATGTTCTTTCATGATATTGTTGATGTCATTTACTAGCATCTTAAAGTTTTAAAATCAACATTCATATGTAAACACAGCTTTCATTGTTTGTGATGTTTTTAATCAGGTTTCGGTGTTAGGGTTATTCAGTATATGTTTTATAGACCAAACTGGAGAGTTTCCTGTTTTATTTTGTTTTTTTCTCCTACATTATGGAAAGTTCATATAATGTGAGAATTATCTATTCTTTTAAGATGGAAAAGATTAGCCAGTGAATCCATCTACAACTGGAGTCAGCAGTGGCCTCCTCCTTTTTACCTTTTCAGGAGAGAAGAATTGTTTTTGGAGAACTTCCTTAATTTCTTCCTATTGCTCTGGTCAGGGTTTCCACTTTTTTTCTACTTTTTGTGTCACATTTATTTGCCATGTATATTTTTGCAAAAAACAATTCATTTTACAGAGGTTTTCAAATCCTTAGCATACAGCATACAGCTATATGTTTTTATATTTTAAAATTCTCTCCCAAATCTGTTATGATGACTTTCTTCTTTCTAACTTAATTCCCCTCCCTTCCTTTTCTAAGAATTTGATGTTATTTTGTTAGCAAACACTTTCCTCTCCCTTCTCCTTCACTAGTTTTGTTTTAAAATTTATTTTGCTTTTATATCCTTCTTGCTGTTTCCTGAGAATTTTTATTGTTCTGAACTTTTTATAAAATACTAATCTGAATGTTTGGTTCTTTTATTTTCCCTTTGCTCAATTAAAGCATGTAAATATATGAATTTTTATCTGAGCATAAGTTTGCTATGTATACACACACGGACACACAATTTGTTTTTTCTCTTTTCCAAGAAATCTATGATTATAATTTTTAAACTCCTTGATTCAACTGTTACTTAAAAAGAGCATTTAAAAATGTCCAAGGGGGTACTTCCTTTTTTCAACATGTAGTTTTAGTTTCGTTTATTTGGGATTAGAGATTGTATAGAATATCTGTTCTTATTTTATAAATTTAGTTGGGATTTTTATCATGGTCTTCTGAATTTATGACTAATTTTTATAAATGTTTCATGATACTTGACAAGAAGGCATAAAAATTTGATATATTTATTAATTATACTGCTATAAATCAAATCCATTATATTCCTAAGTACTTCTGTCTTCTTCATTTGTCACAGACTTAGACACATTAATTTCTGAGTTCTAACAGCTTTTGCCTTATGTTTTTAGCTGTTATGTTATTTGGATCACAAGGGGCCCAGAGTCCCATGTCTTCACTACTGATGAGGTCTTTTGTTGATATAAGGTGGTATTCTTTGCTGCGTTTCGACTTGCCTCTTAATAAATTGAGTGTGTTTCCAGATTAAGTCCATCACCAGGCACTAACAGCAACAGAATTACTGAGAAGTAGGGGAACCAGACAGCATCGATATTACGAGTCATCTAAGGTAGCCCTTTCCTCTTCCAGATTAGAAACTGAAACCTAGAGGCCAGTGGTCCTATTTGTACTTATTTTTTAAATTGAAGTATAATTGATTTACAATGTTGTATTAGTTTAGCGTGTACAGTAAAATTATTCAGCCACATATATATATTTTCAGATTCTTTTCCATTATAGGTTATTACAAGATATTGAGTATAGTCCCCTGTGCTATACAGTAAGTCCTCGTTGTTTATCTGTTTTACATATAGCAGTGTGTATCTGTTAATCCCATACCCCTAATTTATCCCTCTTCCTCCGTCACCCCTTTGGTAACCATAAGTTTTTTATGTCTGTGAGTCTGTTCCTGATTTGTAAATGAGATCATTTGTATCATTTTTTAGATTCCACATATAAGTGACATCATACGGCATTTGTCTTTCTCTGTCTGACTTACTTCACTGAGTATGATCATTTCTTGGTCCATCCATGTTGCTGCAAATGGCATGATTTCATTCTTTTTTTATAAGCCTTTCACATTTACCGGTGCTTGTTTACAGACACACTGGTTGGAGTTTCCAGGCTGTGTGTAAATGGAGAGCCCATCGCTGTCTTGGTCACTGCGGTACCCTTGGTGCCCAGAGTGGGAATAAACAAGCTTCTCAGGAATGACAGGAATCTATGAACCTAGGAAAATCTGCAAGTCGCTTTTGCTTTGTTGAAGCTGTTGGTGGGTATATTTGTATACAGGGGCCCACTGGAGATATTTTAGAATTCCTCCAGGTACTGGGCAGCCCTGGGTTACAAGGCCTGGGTTCCAGCCCCGGCCCACCCCGGGGGTCCTTGGGTAACTCCCTGAAACTCGCAGGGCCTCTTTCCTCTTCCTTCATCTTTAAGGTTCCTTGTGGCTCCAACAGTCCAGGTACTAGACAAGGAATTCCCTCTCCCACTGAGTTCTAGAGCACATGACAGTGGTTAATATCATCCAGAATTCACTCGAAGGAAATTGAGTCACTTCGACCACCTTATATTAGAAAAAAGAACTGAAACAACGGTGTCTTACAATTCCATGGAAACGATTTCTGCCTACGTCTGTCCCCCTGTCAACTCCTGGGCCCCTGGGCCTACAAACACGGTTCGTGGACGCACAACCTCAATGCAAAACCCACTGTGGAAACAACGAGAGAACCAGGGCATGTGGAAGGAGGGCAAGCTCCCGCCGGGCACAAGTGGAGCGGCCAGGTCTGCGGGACGGGAGGCGACCCGAACCGCTGCCGGCGGGAAGGGCCGGGAGGGGCCGTCTGAGGCGGCAAACGCCCCCGGGACACCCCGCCGTGACTCTTCCACCAACCGCGTGCCGAGCGCTGCCCGAGCTCCCCTCGGCCCCGGGTGACTGGGCAGGACGCGCGGGCGCCGGCCTACCTTGCAGTGCGTGGTGCTGACGGGCAGCCCGACGTTGGAGGCGGTGACCACGGTGAACGCTGAGGCCAGCTCGATGGTGAAGCCGCTGCGGAGGAGACAGGGGACGCGTCACGGGCGCCGCCGGTGGCACGCCGGCCCTGGGTGCCCAGGCCTCACCAGGACGCTCCTTGGGTGGACTGCGTCCCACGGCATCAGCAGAACCAGGGACTGTGGCGTGGCGGCAACACGGCACCAACGCTTGGCATGAGGCTGCTTGCGGCCCTAAGGAGCCTCGTTTTCCCGGTATGTTTTCAAAAACCACACCCTGTAGGAGCTGGGTCAGAAATTTCTGCTGAGCCGAAGACGGTGAATTGTCATGTCTAAAGTGGCGCAGGGAAGACTACGCTCTTATTTTTAAAACGTGTACGTATCATAAAGGAGTGAATTTTTTCTCAGACCACTAATTTTTCTTCAAATCAATCTTATAAGAGAATCGTTCATTAAAATGACTTTCAAGGGGGAAAAGATCTCTTACAATAGGTGGTTTCAAGTTTTATCTGTATTTGGAAAGTTCTCCTGTGAATTTGTTATTTAACCAATAGCTCTAAAGCAGTGGTCCCCAACCTTTTTGGCACCAGGGTCCGGTTTGGTGGAAGACAATTTTTCCACAGGGGGATGGTTGAGGCGGTAATGCGAGCCAGGGGGAGCCATGGGGAGCGGCAGATGAAGCTTCACTGGCTGGCTCACCCTCGCCTGCCGCTCACCTCTTGCTGTGTGGCCTGGTCCCTAACAGGCCACGGACCGCTGCTGGTCTGTGGACCAGGGGTTGGGAACCCCTGCGCTAGAGGATACACACTAGAAGGACCATAGGAAACCACGTGGGAGTCTCCAAACCCCACCCCAGGGCATGGGCACCCCTCCTGCCGGCTTAGCCCAGGAAGCAAAGGAAGGATGTACAGTAAACCTGGAAGGGCAGCAGGGGACAGCTGCCTTCAGCCAGCAGGTGGAGCTGGTGAGCAGAGGATTTTCGGGAAAGGCAGGCCTGAGAGCCCTTCTCTCCCTTCCCGCCTGCTCTCTGGACCTCAGGCCGGGTAAGGGCAGTGGGAGTGTGGGAGGGGAACAGGGTGTGGGTGTGGCTGCAGGTGGATTCGCCTTTTCTCTTCCCTTCCTGCTTCTCCCTCCATTCCCATCCCTCCCACTCCCACCCTCATCTTGTGCCACCGCTGAGCAGTGCATGAGGGTGACGGGTGAGGATGGCGCACGGGGACCCCGCTGTAGACCCGGCTGTGCAGAGAGCCGCGCTGGGACGTCCAGACACACGCACTCCGTGCCGCCCCGGCCGCTTACCTGGACGGCGTGATGGGGGTGAGGTCCTTCCCCATGGTCTGGATCACTCTTCTCCCCCAAACCCAGAGGCCTGTACAAATTCCAACCCCTCCGTAAAACAGCAGCCAGACGGGAGTTACTGCTTCTTGTAGGACCGCACCTTGTTCATAAATCAGCCACAGAGCTACCAGGGGACCAATGGCATTACTGGGAGGAAGAAAGAGGTTAATTGTACAAACATCGTACATGCATACAGATGACGCTGTACATGACATGCAGGGACTTCTCTTCTTGAGAACAGCCCATCTGTCGCATTTGGGGCTTGCCTATGTCATCTACAGGTGATAAAAATGATTTAGTAACTTTCTTGGTTGTGGTTTAAAAAAACAGAAAGTTTACCGTCTTGACTATTTTTAAGTGTACAGCTCAGTAGTGTGAAGGATATTCACACTGTTGTGACACAGGCCTCCAGAACTTTTCATCGTGGAAATCTGAAACTCTGTACTCATTAAATAAGAATTCCCTTTGCCCCTGCCCCATCCCCGGTAACAACCGTTTAACTTCATCTCTGAGTTGGAGCAGCTCTGCGAGGTTTCTCCTTAAGTGCAAGTGTATGGTATTTGTCTTTTTGTGGCTAGTTTATTTCACTTAACATAATACCTTCAAGATTCATCCATGTTGTAGCATATAACAGAATTTCCGCCCTTTTTTTTTTTTTTTTTTGCGGTACGCGGGCCTCTCACTGCTGTGGCCTCTCCCGTTGCGGAGCACAGGCTCCGACGCGCAGGCTCAGCGGCCATGGCTCACGGGCCCAGCCGCTCCGCGGCACACACACACACACACACACACACACACACACACACACACACACACATCTTGTTTAGCCATTCATCTGTTGATGGACACTGGGGTTGCCTCCACGTCTTGGCTATTGTGAATAGTGCTGCTGTGAACACGGGTGTGAAAATGTCTCTTTGAGACCCTGCTTTCCATTCTTTTGGGTATATGCCCAGTAGTGGGATTGCTGGGTCATATGGTAATTCTATTTTTAATTTTTTGAGGACTCTTCAGACTGTTTTCCACAGTGGTTACACCATTTTATATTCCCACCAACAGTGCACAAGAGTTCCAATTTCTTACATCCTTGCCAACACTTATTTTGTTTTTAGAGTAGCCATCTTAATGGTTGTGTGATTTGTTAATTTTTTTTTTTTTCTGGCTGTGTTGGGTCTTTGTTGCTGTGCACGGGCTTTCCCTAGTTGCGGTGAGTGGGGACTACTCTTTGCTGCAGTGTGCAGGCTTCTCATTGCAGTGGCTTTCCTTGTTGCGGAGCATGGGCTCTAGGCGCATGGGCTTCAGTAGTTGCAGCACACAGGCTCAGTAGTTGTGGCACGCAGGTCCTAGAGCACACAGGCTTCAGTAGTTGTGGCATGTGGGCTCTAGGGTGCACAGGCTTCAGTAGTCATGGCACGTAGGCTCAGTAGTTGTGGCTCACGGGCTCTAGAACACAGGCTCAGTAGTTGTGGTGCAAGGGCTTAGTCGCTCTGCGGCATGTGGGATCTTCCCGGACCAGGGATTGATCCCATGTCCCCTGCATTGGCAGGCGGATTCTTAACCACTGCACCTCCAGGGAAGTCCCTAATTTTTTTAAAGTACTGAAAAATCACAAGAAGTGGATACATGTTCTTTTTTTTCTTCCTTTCTCTGTTTCTTTCCATTTTCACTGCCAGCACAGCTACTAACATTAGCTACCAATTTGGGGCAGCTGTGCCAGCCTCCCCACTATGGGATCACAAACATTACTGTTAATCATTAGTTCCCAGGCCCACCCCTTAAACTGGCTATTGTCACTCCCATTTTACTGATGAGAAAACTGATGCCAAAGTCATGTCCCTAGCAGGAAGCAGAACTGGGATGTGAGCTTAGGACTCACTCAGGTGCTTACCCCTCCCCCCAGACCCCTATCATCACTCAGGCCCTTGGCAGGCATGCACTGACTTTTTTGGGGGGATTCCACAGCTTTTCTTCTTTTTTAAATTAAGACTTTATTTCTTTAGAGCAGTTGAAGATTCATAGCAAAACTGAGGGGAAGGTACAGAGGTTTCCCATATACCCTCTGGTCCACACATGCATAGCCGCCCCATCATCAACATCCCCACCAGAGTGGAACATTTGTTACAACCGATGAACCCATACTGACACATCAGAGTCATCTGAAGCCTACAGTTTACAGTAGCGTTCACTCTTGGTGTTGTACATTCTATGGGTTTAGACAAATGTATAATAAATGACATGTATCCATCATTAGGGTATCATACAGAGAATTTTCACTGCCCTAAAAATCCTCTGTGCTCTACCTATTCATCCCTCCTTCCCACCCCAACCCCTGATCTTCTGTCTCCATAGTTTTGCCTTTTCCAGAAAGTCATATAGTTGGAATCATACAGTATGCAGCTTTTCATATTGGCTTCTTTCATTCAGAAATATGCATTTAAGGTTCCTGCATATAATTTCATGGCTTGATAACTCATTTCTTTTTAGTGCTGAATAGCATTGTGTAAATGTACCAGTTTTTATCAATACACCTATTGAAGGACATCTTGGTTGCTTCTATGTTTTGGCAATTTTGCGTAAAGCTGCTATAAACATCCATGTACAGGTTTTTGTGTGGATATAAGCTTATTAGGATAACTACCAAGGAGCACGACTACTGGAAGGTACAATAAGAGTATGCTTAGTTTTGTAAGAAACTGTCCCACTGTCTTCCAAAGCAGCTGTACCATTTTGTATTCTCACCAGGAATGAATGAGAGTTCCTGTTGCTTCACATCCTTGCCAGCACTTGGTGTTGTCAGATCAGTTGACGGTCATATTTATGTGGGTCTATTTCTGGGCTCTCTATTCTGTTTCACTGATTTATCTGTCTGTCCTTTCACCAATACCATACTGTCTTGTTACTGCAGCTTTACTAGCAAGCTTGAAGTCGGGTAGTATCAGTCCTTCAAGTTTGTTGTCCTTCAATTTGGCGTTGGCTACTCTGGGTTTTCTGCCTCTCCATATAAACTTTAGAATCAGTTTATCAGTATCCATAAAATAACTTTCTGAGGTTTTGATTGGGATTGCATTGAATCTATAGATCAAGATGTGAAGAACTGACATCTTGGCAATATTGAGTCTTCTTATCCTTGAACATGGAAAATCTCTCCATTTATTCCATTCTTTGATTTCATCCATCAGTTTTACAGCTTTCCACAGATAGATCCTGTACACATTTTGTTAGATTTATCCCTAAGTATTTCAAGGTGCCAGTGTACATGGTACTATTGCATTTTTGAATTTCAAACTCCACCTGTTCTCTGTTAATATGTAGGAAGTGATTGATTTTTGTATATTAACCTGTATCCTGCGTCCTTGTTATAATTGCTTATTAGTTCCAGGAGGTTTTTTTTTTTTTTTGGTCAGTTCTTTCAGATTTCCTACATAGATGGTCATGTCATCTTCAAACAAAGACAGTTTTATTTCTTCTTTCCTAATCTGTATACGTTTATTTCCCTTTCTTGTCCTAGTGCATTAGCTAGAACTTTCAGTACAGTTTTGAAAAGCAGTGCTGAAAGGGGACATCTATGCCTTGTTCCTGATCTTAGTGGAAAAGCTTTGAGTTTCTCACCATTAAGTATGATATTAGCTGTAGTTTTTTTGTATTTTTTATCAAGTTGAGGAGTTCCCCTCTATTCCTAGTTTACTGAGAGTTTTTATCACGAATAGGTATTGGATTTTGTTAAATGCTTTCTTCTGCATCTATTGATATGATCGTGTGACTTTTTCTTTTTAGCCTATTGACATGATGGATTACATTAACTAATTTTCAAATGTTGAACCAATCTTGCATACCTCAGAGAAAGCTCGTTGGTCATGCTGGATAATTCTCTTTATACATTGTTGGATTCAATTTGCTAATAGTTTGTTGAGTTTTTTCTTCAGCGAAGTTCATAAGAAATACAGGTCTATAGTTTTCTTATAATGTCTTTCACTGGTTTTGGTACTAGGGTAATGCGGGCCTTACAGAATGAGTTAGGAAATATTCCTTTTGCTTCTATCCTCTGAAAGAAATTTGTAGACAAGTATAATTTCTTCCTTAGGTATTTGGCAGATTTCATCAGTGAACCCATCTGGGCCTGGTGCTTTCTGTTTTGCAAGGTTATTAATTATTGATTCAATTTCCTTAATAGATATAGGCCTGTCAGATAGTCTGTTTCTTCTTGTGTGAGTTTGGGCAGTTCTGTCTTTCAAGGAATTGGTCCGTTTCACCTAGGTTATCAAATTGGTTATTCATAGTATTCCTTTTATAGTATTTTGTAATATTATCCTTTTAATGTCCATAGGATCTATAGTGATGTCCCTCCTCCCTTTCTGATATTAGTAATTTGTGTTCTCTCTTTTTCTCTGAGTTAGCCTGGCTAGAAGCTTATCAACTTCATTAATATTTTCAATATTTTGAAAATATTTCAGCTTTTTCTTTCATTGATTTTCTCTATTAGTTTCCTGACTTAAATTTCATTTATTTCTGCTCTAATTCTTAGTATTTCCTTACTTCTGCTCACCTTGGATTTAATTTGCTCTTCTTTTCCTATTTTTCTAGGCTGGAAACTTAGATTGATTTTATTATTATTTATATTATTATTATTATTTATTATTTACTGATTTTATATCTTCCTTCTTTCCTAATATATGAATTCAATGCAATTTGAACAGTCTTGCATACCTCAGAGAAAGCTCACTTGGTCATGCTAGATAATTCTCATTATACATTGTTGGATTCAATTTGCTAATAGTTTGTTGATCCGCCTGCCAACGCAGGGGACACAGGTTCGATCCCTGGTCCGGGAAGATCCCACATGCGACGGAGCGACTAAGCCCATGCACCACAACTCCTGAGCCTGCACTCTAGAGCCCACGAGCCACAACTACTGAAGCCCGTGTGCTGCAACTACTGAAGCCCACGTGCTGCAACTACTGAAGCCCACATGCCTAGAGCCCATGCTCTGCAACAAGAGAAGCCACCATAATGAGAAGCCCATGCACCGCAACGGCAGTAGCCCCCGCTCGCCACAACTAGAGAAAGTCCGCATGCAGCAATTCAATTTTCTTCTAAGCACTGTTTATGCTGCTTCCCACAAATTTTGATGTGCTTTGATTTTCATTTAGTTC